CCTCTCTCATCCGTTGCAACATGTCCGTCGCAGAACCGTGCCGCAGGTCTATGTTAATAAAGAGTTGATCTAACCTTTGTCGATCGGTTAGGTCTCCTCGTTTAAGAATCGAACGTTTTAAGGTTTCGTAAGGTTCAGAAACATCGCTAGTAAACATACTAGGTGTTACGTACCTGTTGAATTCGCGCGCTAGTGCCTTGACTACTGTGAGGAATTGTGCACGTGTGTCGATCACGCCGTGCTCGTGGAAGTCGGCTTCTGCGTAGCAAATCCAGGCTTCGATGTTGTCGGGCCAGAAAGGCATGAGTTGAAACGAAAGCGGGGACAAAGTCTTAAACTTGAGTACTTTGGGCGTCTGCTCAGTCATGATGAAATATGAAGTACGATAATGAACGAGGGGAAATATATATATATATCCAAGAAAAAACACGAAAAAAATCACAATGTTTAAAAAATAAAAAATAAGTCAATTATATATAAACATCCCATAAAGGAACAGACTCACAGTTGCAATTAGGTGTACCAGATCACGTCGGTCTCACCAATGAAGAATGACACAGGTATTCAGTGTTTGACAAAGCTTTTACCAGCAAAACCTTCTAATATAATTTGTACCCACCGAGAGAGATCAAAAGACAGAGTCGAGGAGATCGGAAGAGTATATTTGGCGATAACCAATATATCGGAATTCTCTGACCTAATCTGGCTAGCGATTGCAGTAGCAGTTGAGCACGGCGTTACCACACGTGATCTGGTGCGGATATCTGACCGAGCGCCTTCAGCTAGATGAGTCCATTAAAACATATGGTCAGCATCCAATGTCGAAAACTTACTGAGCTATTTATTTTGGGGATTTATTTACCGCTACAAAACCTTCGCACTTTTGGAAGCGCTCTTCGTAAGGTCTGAATTTGAGACTCCGAACTGATTTTGTGGTTTGCCGTTGGATATGTTCCAGAGTGTCTTTATGCTTCTGGAGTGAGAGAGGAAATACTATATTTCCGTACTTTAAAGAGGAGCGAAAAAAGTGTTGAAAATTATGTGAAACGTTCTTTCATCGAACTGGCCGAAAGTAGGTTTTAATGTTCCCGTTTCATGGTGTTTCAAGTAAGTAAATCCCAAAAATCAGTAGCTTTGTAAGTCTTCGACATTGGATGCTGACCATATTCGTTTTAATGGACTTGTTACAGCTTAGGTTGGTTGGTTAAGAGTTGACCCCAAACAACCAAGCATATGCCAAAACAGTTTTGTTCAAGTATCCATTCACTTCCTTGTTTTGTATAAGCGTTATATTCCCTGTTATCTTATGTTGAATGTTGACAGCCTTTGATTGTCTGAACAGATAATTCCACGCTCCACTGTTACCACGCTAAGATCGAAATAAAGACTTATTCACTACTTGTCTGGTTTCTTCTATCAATAGCACGAGGGTTACTTTAAGGCACGAAAGACTCACCTAGCTGATAGCACTCGGTCAAGCATCCGTATCAGATCACGAGTGTGAGTGTGATGCTCAACTTATTCTGAAATAGCTAGCCAGTTTAGACCATTTGTTTGATAGCCTATCTACTATGTCTTCGAAAGTTTATGCTTCTGACTTTTGATTTCACTGGGTGAACACAATTCATTACAAGTGTTATTGGTTGAAGCATAGTCAAACTACAAATGCATCTTCAGTTCTATTATTAGAGTAGCACTAATATCAAACTAGACCACTATTCTACAATCCTACCTTCCAAATAAATTTTTCACTGCTTTTTCAAAGTTCTGAGAAATTGTTCCTTAATTTTCAGTAGTGTAGAAATTTTGAAGCGGAGAGGGGTTGTAAGAGTGAGAGATTTTATACATAAATCACGTCCACAGGTTGCAGAATGGAATTTCGGTGATTAACTTCAAGCTCAACTTTGTGATCGTCCAATCGCTAAGAATAACACATCAAATTCGAAAAGTAAGTTAATTTGAAAGCTTTAAGATCATTTCAAGAAAGTCAAATTTTTAATTATAAGAAACTGAATGGTTTTGATATGCAGCGTGTGAAAAAGTCAGATACTTTTCAGAGCTTTCTTTAAGAAATACAACTTCAACGTCTCTCACTTTCCCTCGAAGTAATAAATATTCTCACTCTCAAAAAAATATACAAAACGAGTTTTATCGATGATTAGAGAGTTTCACCAAGGTAAGCGTAGGTTTGTCAAATGTTTTATATTGTTGATTACTTGAATCCACTCTATACATACACTTGTCGGCTTCAACCCTTGAACGTTGGTTCCTGAGAACTCACCTACTGTGGGTTTTCTTCGTAATTATATTAGCCTGGGGTCTAATTAATTTTATTCGAAGCGGTGTACTTTCGGTCACGTGTTCGCACACAAATGTAATGTCTCAAATCATAAGTTATCGTCAAAGCTTATCAAGCACCCAGAAACTGGAGAAACTACACAGGAGATCGAACTGTAGACACAACTTCTACTCCTTAAGAGTTGTCAGATGCTGGAATTCGCTGCCTGCTGAGCTAGTTCAACCGACTTCGTAGAAGTCCTTTAAGAGAAAACTTGACCTACTCTTAAGGACTTAATCACTAGCCTAGATGATCTATGTCGAATGATCGGAGGGCTACTGGAGTTAGACGGGGACAATATGACGAACTAGCTAACGTCGAAGTCACTATAGTATTCTAATTATAGTATGAATTAGGAATTCCAGGATTAACGCAATTGAATTAAGAAGACACAGGCACAACGAATGTACTGTATTTAGAATTCGAAATCAAACATTCAACCAGTACAAAAGAATCATTAGTTAATTCAAACACCACATCCGCCACAGCTTAAATAGAAGTATAAGTGTTTGTAATCGGTTGTACGTCTTCTTGTTAAGTTCATCCTGAGTCTGTCCGACATTGTATAAGATAAAAACTTTGTAGTATCTAGAAAGTGCTCATTAGTATTGGAATTAACAAACGAAATCGGAACAGACTCACCTGGAATTGTATACAACCAGCATGTCGGTTTTGTAATGAAATCATTAATATCTAGAATTCGAACCATAGATTTTTCAACACTATCCCCCCCCCACGAAATAATGTTGGATCTTTATACTCCCAAGTTATGAATAATGTGGCTTCATTTAAAACATATATCTCACATTGTTTAGAGTAAACATTAGAACTGTTTTTGTGATAAGAGTAAACAGCAGTTGATATGATATCATCCGAAATATAATAAAACTCGAGGTCACTTAGTACTCGTGCTTCGCATTGGGCAGGTTTTTCACGAAGATCAAATACATTATGAGGATAGGTAATATATGATATGACATCAGGATTTGATTCTTCTGAAATATTCTCATGAAATTCATCAGGACTGTCGTTGCAGAGCGTAGGATCGTTAGAAAAATCAGCATCTATCCAAACCACATCAGGTTTTCGATCATGATTAGGTTCATTTAACATATTTTCCTCAGAATTGCAAGTAATTTCATTAGAAATATGTGAATCATTAGGAAAAGTCATACTTGGTACAATAGCATGAGAATTCTGATAAATCGGTTGATTAGGAAATGTTGTCTCACAAGAATTCTGGATTTCATTTAACTCTGAACTGCCATATGACTCTGCACTGTCTTTTGAAATCGTTGATAAAGATAAATGATTATCATGAATACTCGACTCAGTAGAATCAGAATTACAAGACTTAATATTAATTGCAGTAAGATGAACATTAGCATTACAAACTGACTGAACTTGTCCAATATCACGACATTTGAAGCATTTAGAATTATGAAATTTACATGAATTAGAAGAGTGGAACTTGCAACAGGACAAACACTGACCAAACTTGTCCCCATCCTCGTGAACTGCATCCAAATTCAATGAATTGTCTGCATAACCTTGAGTATGCACTAGGTTGAGATGACGTAGTAATGTAGTGGACTTTTTTATATCCTCATGAATCATTTTACGAAATCTTCCTCCTTTACGACATTTGAAATTTGTATACTGAGCATAGTCTAGCAGTAGATCCTTGAGAGCTGTATAAGAAAGCGAAATGGGTTTTTCCGGCATAGCCAGAGTTCTTAATAAGCTGTATGCTTCTTTTCCAATGAATGTGAGGAAGTGTGCCACAATATTACCATCCTCATCATCTTCCTTGGTCATAGCCCAGATTTCGAACCTTTCAAAGTAATCTTCAAAAGCTTCTGAAGTTGAATGAATATCTAACTTTTCCATTGCAGGCTCCATCGCGACGCCAATATAGTATTCTAATTATAGTATGAATTAGGAATTCCAGGATTAACGCAATTGAATTAAGAAGACACAGGCACAACGAATGTACTGTATTTAGAATTCGAAATCGAGCATTCAACAAGTACAAAAGAATCATTAGTTAATTCAAACACCACAGTCACACCTTCTGGTTAGCACCTTACGTGGACTACCCCCATTGACATACCAAGTTACCACAGATGCTTTGAAGACTGTAAAACACAGAGGACGCTATTACAGAAATATATTAGTCAAAGTAGATACAAGCGAAAGTAAGAACACTGCTGCATGGGCCAGTCCATGGCGTACGATTAACTAGTTGTCCTTGACCTTGATGAGGATTGATGATTTGTTCGATGTTCAACGACCCGACTGCCGGATGATTGGGCTAGGGCACAAGGAAATTTCACTGGCGCTACAGTATCTTACTATGATTTTCCAATTACGTTTTCCTCTTTTATCGAGAACATACCCAGGTTCCGGCCTGAAGGTATTGGTGATCTGCTACGACTAGAAACGGGAGCTTGTTATGCAAAAGCTTCTTCCGTACACAATCGCTTGATCCATTTGAAATACTATTTGAAATTCACAATGTAAACACACTGATAGTGCATAGCAATTAGCAGTTTAAAGTTTGTCATGTATTCAATCTTTGAGGTGCACAATTAAGATATGTGCCAATGCAAACCCTGTTCATCTGAAAAGTATATATTTTGTTAAAGTGCATCAAAATCTAGTAACAAAGAAGTTTCGTGTTCGGCAAATACTTGAAAATGGTGTCAGGTATCCCGGATTTATCAATATCAGAATATCAGTTTATAAAGACGATTGGCAAAGGATCATACGGAGAAGTCTGGCTATGCAAACATAAGATCGATACAAAAAAGGTAACATGTTTCCTGTCAATAAATATAGTGAATAAAAGTACGTCATTAAAAAAATCGATGTTACAAAATCTTCTGATAAAGAAAGAAAAGCAGCTAAATTAGAATGCCGGCTGCTTTCTGAGTTTAGACACCCAAATATTGTTCAATATAAGACCTCTTTTGAATATCGCGGATTCTTGTATATTGCAATGGGTTTTTGTGAAGGAGGTGATCTTTACACAAGACTTAGAATGAGAAATGGGGTTCTTTTATCTGAACGTGTTCTTGTTGAGTGGTTTGTCCAGCTTGCTATTGCCTTACAGGTATTTCTGTTTCTGATTTATCGAGTGATTCCCAGTATATGCATGAGAGAAATGTATTACATCGGGATCTTAAAACTCGAAACATATTTCTCACACGGTCGAATATTGTCAAACTTGGAGACCTTGGGATAGCTAGGTATTAATATAATTGTTCAATATTTAAGGCACAGAGTGTTAGAGTCTTCTAATTCAATGGCTACAACCTTAATTGGAACCCCCTACTATATGTCACCTGAGCTATTTGCCAATAAACCTTATAATCATAAAGTAAGTTCATGGAAAATTATGAACGTCAGTCGGATATATGGGCTCTAGGTTGCGTTTTGTATGAGATGTCTACTCTTCGGCATGCCTTTAATGCTAAATCATTCAACGCACTATCATATAAAATTTTAAGCGGAAAGGTTAGCTCAAATACAAGACTTTATCATCTTCTATAGGTTCCAGATATGCCTACTCAATATAGTCCAGAACTTCTTGAACTTATGCGTGCAATGTTGCACTTGAAACCAGAGAAACGTCCATCAGCGAGACGCGTTTTATCTAATTCATTCATAAGGAAACATATTGTTCTATTTCTGGAAGCAACTAAAAATCGGTAAGTTTACTGATTTCAAATAAAAAAGAGTATTTAAAACACACATTTAACATTATTGTTAATCACTACACTTATTCGTAAATTCAAAATGGAGGAGTAGTTAGTTAAAACTATCAGTTGTCAGATTGGTCCTAGAAAGATATGTGAAAATGTTTATGAAGAAAACTAGAACTTAAGAATATTCATTTTACGTTTAGTTTAGATAGATAGCTAGAGTTTTAGCAAATATTTGCCTTTAATCTTACGAGCAAATTTTATATTCCGTCTTTTGTCCAAATTGGTAAAACCTAGACTATTCAGCATTTTTAATATGTCTTACATATAATAACTGCTATAAGTAAATTCATTCGAAACTTTTACCGTTTGGGCACATTTGAAGTAGAAGCTAACTTTGCCGATATAATGCCATGGAGAAAGCTGCATAATAATATTAATAACTGGTAAACTGACACAAGTAGAAAGTTATGTTAATCTCAAAGTAGTTGGAATTTACATAAAGGACTCAAATTTAAACAGATGTGTTAAATGCGGAAAATTTATCCTGCTGATTTCAGGCTCAGTCATAGCAGTTAGAAACAGGTGACAAAGTGATCTTTATTGTTCGCAATAATTTGTGTTTTCTGATCGTTAGTATTCACTGATAAATTTGACCAACCTATGTCGTTTTGCAGGATTTATAATTAGGTGCTTCGATATGCTGCCAAGAGTTACAGCTTTATTATATTTTTAAAGCCAAAACACGAACTTTTTGTCACGATCGATAGTTTATTTTTTGTTTAAACCATGTCTGATATCCCTATTGCATCAGTCACACGAACGAACTTAGCACTTTACACACTTTAAGTAACGTAGTAGTTGAATTTCGATAAGATGGTTATCTTATGTTTAAATAATTATACACTTGTCTGAAGTGATTTATTTCAAGCTGCCCGTGATTACTGAGCAGCAAATAACCTATATAAGTAATATGCCAGCAAATTTGGTACTTTTTTGAAGTCTAATAATAATATGTTTGCAGAGTTTACTGTATGTTGGTATGAACAAAACATAGAAACTAGTTTTCAACAACAATTTAAATGAGTATATTACTTTATCCAAGCCCAAATCACTCCCGAAACCATTCAACCACTGAAGATGAAGTACAAAACACCAATCAACATTCAGAATGCGAAACTGGTGTGCCTTCAATAACTAATCAATCATCCAATGAAATAAAAATGAGCAATGAGAAAAGAACAAATCAAATGGAACAGGTTAAATTGATTTATTACCAATTTATATATTTGAATTTACGAATTTATTTATAACGTTGCCAAAAGTCATCTTAGATTACAGAGTTTAAAATGATAGTTTTATTATCAACTGAAATGAACCACCACTGAGCCAATGTATAAACATATCGGCTGAAAGCGTTTTTCAAATTGAGGAGGGGTTCATGAAAACCTAGGGAAAAATCATCTTAGTGAGAAGGGCCAAGAATAATATATAAGCTTTTGAAATAATTAAGATTATCACAAGGTTGTAACATACATTTTGGGTAACTATATATTCATGGTAATTGTGAAGTACTAGTAGTCATTTTGTAGAGCTGATAAAATAAAGAATAGTAAATTAGGATATTGTACAAGAGAATGCAATCAACAGTACATAAGAGTCGCTACGTTTTACGCCTATATACATATTTTCAATATACCTATATATAAGAGTATTGAAAAGCTCAACCGTGTACATTACAACAATACACTTAGGAGGACAATCAAGTTCTCAGTTAGATTTTTATCAAGCTACACCTTAATATACTGACTAATGTCTTTGAATATACAAAAAAATACTAGACCAATCAACGAAATCTATAGGTAAGTGATAACAATTAAAGCCGATAACTAATCATAATAAATAAAATGTACAAACTGGTAATAAGTTGATAAGTGTATAAGTGGTGATAAAAATGATAAAAACTTAAATAAATATTTCAACATAGGTAATCCGTCTAAAGTTAGGTAAATAAACTCACCGAAATGACAACCAGTGAACTTATGCGGTAAGATTTGCAAAACTAATTTATTTAAATTAATTTGTAGTAAAGAAGCCATTTAAAAGGGGTGAGGAAGAACAAACAACCAAAGCCTGTGGCGAATCGATAAAATTGCTCATTAATTCCTAGAGAAGAGACAAGTGTGATACAGATTCCTTCCAAACGTTTGTACTATGACTGTTAGCTCGGGTCACCATAGCTTTTTCTATATATAAAGAACGCAAACAGTTACTACAGCAAAATTTCAAAGATTTGTGACTCATAGCTTTGAATGATCACTATTAACCAAGTATGAAAAAGCAGAGCCGCGTATTATTTTTACTTGAGCCTGTTTAACCTACCTAAGGAAATGTTTACTCATTTGTTGGCTAATTGCCCTGACATATATAACCATATTAAGTATAATCCTGTCATCAGAAATCAACTAGATTTACTATGCAACAAATTAATTGAAATGATTTATAAAATTGCTTTCAGAAGGTAATTAATGGCTTTGTTGAAATATATTATCACAAATGGCTGAAGTCACAACAGATACGTGCACTCTGAAATTTTAAATTTGCTGACATGGTTAAGCTGAACAAGGTTTTTCAGGGGTTTTTACTAAGCACTTAACTGATTCGTGTATATGTCTTACATATACCTTACATTTGTCAGTTTACAACATATTCCAAGTGATTTAATGTGAAAACCTTACGCTTTTGAAAATCATTGGATCCTTGGTTTTGCACATGGTTATATTGTAGTTAATGATAGAATATTTTCAACTTTCCAGACAGGAAAGAAACGCAGTATTTATGACTGACTCCTTTTTATATTCATATGATATTGTTTAAGGCGTTGCTATGAGACTAAAATCTACAAATTTCTACTTTCTACTCTCAGTAATCAAATGTTATTTAAATTAATAACTTGGATTGTAAAATCTATGATTGTTATCTAGAAACAAGATGGTTACAAACAAAAAATAAACTTGCAAAGTTTGATTTATCCCACAGAAAATGAAATAACAGAAAATTATTCATCATGGGCGTGGTTCTTCTTAAGGCAATTCATACTTCTAACCATATGTAAGAAATATAGGTAGTTAAGAATGACTTCATAATATTTTTATGACTAAATATTCTTAGTCAATGTATTTCATTAGGTTACTATGTAACCCTAGTATGATGATACGTTGTGTTAGATTCTTTCGATTCAATTACACAAGAACTAAAATGATCGTATGAATAATATAAACTAAATCAAATAAATTTATATGCTGAATAGCTAAAATGCTGTTTTTTTACTCCAGTTCAAACCTAATTCGTAAATACTGATTGTTGAGATCATGAACCAATTGATATGAGTTCACCACTGAAAACCTAGAAGAACTAGACGGCTGTTTCGTTCTACTGTGAGACTCCTCAGCAATGCGCATCCACGATCTCGCTCGCAAACGCTTAACTTGTAGATCATTGAACCGGCTGGTATCCAATGGTGTTAATGTCTAACCTCAACTAATCCACAAAATTGCGTGACCATCTTTCATTGTACTGAAGTAGATACCTGTCTCTGCCACTTCATTTAGTGTTGAACAATCAACATTTGGCTAAATGTAATTAATTTATACGTTAGACTTATTGACATTTATCAAACGAATCGCTAAAGTCGATTTCTCTTGACGATTATGAGTTAAAGTGAAAATAATATTTGCATAATGAATGTACAAAAAGTGATCAATCGATTATAAATTCATGTAAAGATAACTTCTGTGGTAATTAATTTAGTACTTTAGTACTTTAATCGATTCAAACATCACAGAAATAATTCAAATCAGTTATGCTGTAATGAAAAATATCTGTTGACTACTTTAGTAAAAGGAATATACTCTTGACAATTATGTAATTATCAGAAGGAGCTTTGTTGAGATTTTAGAAATTTCACTGATTGAAATCATGAGTCAATTGAAGCTAGACCACCATGAAATCCTGGAAAAACTGAACGGTCGTTTCGTTCTATTTTGGGACTCCTCAGCAGTACGCATCTACGATCCCGCCTCACGAGATTCGAATCCAGGACCTGTCAGTCTCGCGAGAGTGCCTAACCATTAGACCACTGAGCTGGTAGGTATCCAACGGTGTTAATGTCTAACTTCAACCAATCCACGAAGTTGCGGAATCGTGGATCCACACTGCTGAGGAGTCCCATACTGGGAGGAAACGGCCATTCAGTGCTTCCAAGTTTTCCATGGTGATCTAGCTTCAATTGACTCATGATTTCAATCAGTGAAATTATGTAATTATCAATTGACTTTAAGATATTACAACCAAGAACATTCATTACCTGTCATTAGTAATCATATTCATTTAATTTTAGCAACCAATTATCATACATAACGAACAAAATTGTGAAAAAAATTCACAGTCACTATTAAAACAAACCTTGTCTGTTGACCGAAATGATAAAGTTTTTGCAAATTCATCAATGGATGAATCAAAAGTTGATTTTTCAATCAACAATGTACCAAAAGAGTTAAATCAAAGTATTAAGATATCTGTAAATACATATAGACAACATGAAAAACAGATTAATGAGAGTATTGTCAATTGTATTGATGAACTTAAAGATGATTCACTTCATAGACATTTATCAGATGCTCGATTACGTCGTCGTCAACGACGTCGAATGTCTGAAGTTGAAGGTAAGTTTATAGAGCAAGTGTTTTATTTATCAAATATTTTAAAAAGTGTATTGAATAGATCTTTTAACATAACAATTAATTTTCATTCGATTTATGCTTTAAACAATAGAATGGAATTATTCGAATGAATGAGTTTGTGTCATTTTGCTACATTCACATTTCTTGCTTCGTTTGAGCTAATACTATTGTATCAAATACTGTAGTACTGTATAGATACAGTTAGAATAGTTAATCAGTTTTTTCTACTGATAGGTGTATGTAAAGGGTTGTCAACCGGTTGCCCATACCGTTGAAGGATATTTCTTCCTGAAGAGTCTGCAAAAGAAACTGGATTAGGAAACTGGCTGAGTAACCATAGAATCCAAAGGACAACTGCTCATGACCTGTCACACAGGCTTTTTGTCAGTAATTATTAGTGTATTAACTCTTTACTTATGAAACCTTACCAATGCTGATGGAATTTGTTGGGGGGAGGTGCTAATGTGAGATGTTTTACCTTTAGGATCGACCTTCTCTAATCATTTTTTTCCACTATGAGGAGATGACAAACAATGGTTGTTTGGGCGGAAAATTCTACTGTCGTCATATTCCACTAGAGTCAGTTGCACGACCTAACTTTCTGGGCTTACTTTATTATCGTTAATCTTACCACTCTTCAACAGACTGATTTGACACAGTGTTTCCAAAAGGAACATGTGCTTCAGTCAGTAAAGTTTGATTTAGCCATTATGATGGATAAGCTTGAATATTATGTCAAAATAGCAGTGACTGTTAAGACAGTCAGGAAAATAGATGAATAACCTCAAGACATAATTCCTGCTGTCGATAAGTTTACATGATAATTGGAAGTGTTCGAATTATTGTATCAACTAGGAATTCCAGAAACAATGCAACTTATGGCAAGTAGAACTAGTTGAGTAAAAATGAATGGACAGTATTTGGAATTCGTAATAATTGGGTCGTCAAATATCAAAGAATCATTAGTTCATACAAATACAACAGTTTAGTACAATCAACAAGAATTGACGAATGTGAAAAGTCAGTAGTTATAAGTAAACAAATAACAAAATAATGAGAAAATCTAATTAAATCTTTACAACAAACTGACAAAATGATTTAGTTTCAGTATTGTATTGATTATTGATAAGAAGAGTAGGCTGAAATACAATAAAGAATACAATGCTTCAATGTTTAGTGTCCACGAATGATTTTTGAAGGTACAGAAGTAAATAATGTTACAAATTCATTCCCTGTTTGTTTTTCTTTCACTTTTGAATTCTTGTCTCCCATCATAGATACCTATCCATTCTGTCTTTTCAAGTAATGTTCTAAAAAGTTTAGTATTTTTCATGATGACTTCTGCTACATTATGTAGTGTGACAACTTGCGCTAACACACACGTCTATGCCAGATTCTCTTGAGGACCCTCTGGTACGGCCGACAGTAGGGAAGTCCTACTCGCTGCCTTCTCGTGGCGGGGGTTTCGTTTACGAAAATGAGTGGAAGAAAAGCGAATGTCCGGCACTTTAACCGGATTCCAAACCAATGGTGCACATGAGCTCCAGTATCCTTAAGGAACAAATGGCGTATGAAGCAATCGTTGGTCACTGGCTACCATGGGAATGCATCTCCTCACGATGCTCCACTGCCTTGTGGGTCAGACCTTTAAGTCGGAGGCTCCGGGTGTGGCCCCCTAGGAAAACCACCTGCTTCGGTTTGGGCACCCGAACAGTGTCGCAGCCCCCACACATATCAAATGAGATTTGTGTGGCGCATATGTGTTCGGTGCCTCGTTGTACCAATATCTATGTGTTAAAATAAATAAATAAATAAATATCTTTGTCAATAATTGTATACATTAACATTGATTGATAAAACGTGTAAAGTTCTTCTCTCAAATGGTTATCTCTTTAACTGCTCTAACTTTTCTCATCGGAACAAGTCGTGAAAATACAGATTTTTTGGTTTCAAATGCTCTCTATAGAACAACAAAATTCCAGTAATGTATATAAACTATTGTCTTAATGTAAATTACACACTAACCATGACCCTTAATCAGTTTCATTTTATGCATATGCAAAGGGGTTTTATGGATATTATAGTAATTTCAACAGTTGAGATCATAAGTCGATTGGAACTAGACCACCATAGAAAGCTAGAAAGTACTGGACGGCCACTTCGTCCTGTTGTGGGACTCCTCAGCATTGCGCATCCAGGATCTTGCCTTATAGGAGTTGGACCCAGGACCTATCGATCTCGCGTTCGAACGCTTAACCTCTAGACCACTGAGGCGAAGCGGTATCGTGGATATACACTGCTAAAGAATCCTACAATATGAAAAAAACAGCCGTTCAGTGCTTCTGAACTCTCCATGGTAGTCTAGCTTCAATGGACTCATGATCTCAACTATTAAAAATTATACATTGAAGTTTAAATGTAACTAATGTTCTATATCATTTTAGGAGAACAACATCATAATCATCAACAATTTAAACATGAATATCATAAAGAATCAATTAAAACGATCAAGTCTCCAAGATCAATTCATGAAAAACATGATAGTAACAATTCAAATTTAAAATTACACAAAATTTCAAAATTTCATTTTCATTCATTTTCTATATTACCAGTATCTATGTTACCTAAATTACATCAAAATATTTATCAAATGAAAAGTAGTAATTCAATCACTGATCTAATAACAAAACATAATTCATTAAATAATGATTATTCAAAGGTGATAGAGAATCAAAACAATGAACAATCATTAACAAATCAAATTATTCATTGTAGTAGTAGTATGAGTTCAACTCCTGTCATAACAATTTGTTCATCACCAGGTAGTGCTCAAATGAATAAGGTATTTACTGTATTCTCTTATTTTATCCATAATAAATACTTAAATATTAGTCTTATTTGAATGTATATACAAGTTTTTGTGTAAACTATTGATATGATTTGGATATTTGTACTGAAATGACGGTCAATGGAACTGTTGTAAGAGTTAGTATTATATATCAAGTTCACTTAAATTATTCTAGCTTCTGAATAGACGAATCTATTCATTCTTCTTGAACTACATTTTGACCTTAAGGGGGCATTGGACTCTGTTAATCGTGTGGTTTTATGATAGTGTTTGTCACTGAAAAGAGTACCAAAGAAGTACATTGATATTATAAAGGCTCTCTACTCGTACACAACTGGTCGATTGAGAGCTTATCGAGAACTATTATCAGAATTCATTACCTCAAGTGGTGTTCATCACGGCTGTCCACTCTCTCCGTTCTTGTTTAACTTTGTCGTTGATGTGCTTTTAGAGATAGCACTGTCCTCATCCAAATTTCCAGGGGTTGAATTTTTACCGGGAGATTTACTTGTTGACCTAGAATATGCCGATGACATAGTTCTATTTGATGAAGAGTCTTCTGACCACTCTAAGCAACAATGCAAGCATGTTCGGGATGCGATTCTCCCCTTCGAAATGAAAACTTTTTCTTCAGGATTGGGTTGCACCGACACCCGAACTAGTGATAGGGAGTGAAGTAGTTGAGTGTGTCGACCGCTTCACTTATCTTGGAAGTCTCATCAGCCCTTTTGGTCTGGTGTGTGACGAAATCTCAGCACGGATACAGAAGGCTCGACTAGCTCTTGCCAACTTATGGCGTAGGCGAGATATCCGTCTATCAACCAAAAGACGTGTTTACTGTGCAGCAGTTCATTCCGTCCTACTTTATGACAGTGAAACATGGCTGGTAATAGTAGAGGATATTCGTAGGTTACTAGTATTTGACCATAAGTGTCTTCGAAACATTGCTCGTATATCGTGGGACCACCGAGTATGTAATGCAGTTGTTAGGAAACGGGTACTAGGTAAGGATGGCAAATCAGTTGATGAAGTAATGAAACTTGATCAGTTGAGATGGCTGGGACACATGTCACGTATGCCCAACCACCGAATGCCCCGACGTGCGATGTTCAGTGGTGTAGGAGTAGATTGGAAGAAAGCTAGGAGCGGCCAGACCAAAACATGGCACACATCCATGAAGTCACTGACAAGTGGACTGAGTCATGTTGGTAGGTGTAAACTACCTGGTTGGGATCCGCGGAACGATCTTGAATGACATGGCTCAAAATCGTTTGCAATGGCACAGGTGCATCCACTTTTCGTGTTCTTCCAAATTCTAATCTTCTGAATTCTTCATGTCCCTTTTTTCTCTTCCCAAATTTATTTCACTCGATTATACTCGTTGAATTACATCTTAAAACCGTAATATTTCCGATTACTGCTTATAGTTTTACTACCTCTACCACTATGGGATTTGAATCGACAATTGTATCTGTGTGCTAATGTGGTATGGCAACTCGAACTGATGTACGTACGTACGAAGTTCTACGTTCTTACTGACTGTTTGAATCCTGACTTTTTATATGATTGTATGCGTGTTAATTACTTTCTCTATTCATCAGTTGTCTGTAACTTATTTCTGTCTGACTATAAATGTTGGATAACGCTTAATTGAATTAAGTTGGCTATTATGCCTTCTCTAGTCCGTTTCGCTTCGCTTCCTTCGCTGCGTCTCCCTGATTGTCTGTTGAGATCAATGAGTTTACGAAATATACGTATTCAAACCTTATTCTCGTACTTGATTTATTCAATTCCGTTTTTCACCAACACTTTTTAAGTTGATGATTGTATTGGAGGATAGCCAGGCTGTATACATTTCAACAGCAATCATTCGATAACGATCATTCACCCAATCTAACCGAAGTCAGATATTCCTGGGCCAACAGATTGTGTTTATCTGTTAAACAAGAAGCAGCAGTTAAATTCAGCACTGATCAGCTCTATGTACACAGGGTGAATGTTGGAACCCAATAGCTGGTGCTTTAACCACCGGCTATACATTTTCTATTAAGCTAGTATGTTTTGATAACCACAACAAGTGTCGTGTATTCAAGTACCAGTTTGAACGTCAATACTGGGAAGTACATACATCCAGATGATGAGCCCTAAATACAACGAAGTGTTCATTCTAGATTAAATTATTAACCACTATCATAATCATAATCAACTTGTAATAAAAACGGGGTATTTATTCAAGGAACTCGTATGTGAACAGAAGCTAATAAAATACAGTCCTAAATATCAACAACTTTTGAAAATCGATTACTATCGCTATAATCGTAACTTATGATTGTAGCCCATTGATAAACAGTGCTCTTATTTTGAAAACTTCTTAGAAGTAGTTATTTTAAAATGGATTCATACTGTATTCTCTGTGGAAACAGAACATATAGCGTCAACTAAATCGTGGATGAAGCGGTAGCGTACCAATAATGTTGAATGAGAATCGCTCTTTATTAACCATAATTCACTAGTTTTCAGGTGAGTAGTCTAAAATAATCGTGCTTATGGTACAGATTTGATTTTTCATGATCATCGATACGCATTATTGAGAAATGTTTTAGATTATAATGAATAATTCTCATAACTTGTATTATTACAAATTGTTTACGGGATCAAATAGATTCTCAATAACCATAGAATTTCGGTCATTTATGAGCAAAGTCCTTTGAAATTCATCCAGCTAAGTGTATAAGGCGATGACGTTTGAAGCGAACGGTACTGGGTTCGAGTCCCAGAGTGAACATCAACTCTGGGATGCAGGTACATCCAACTGACGAGTCCTAACTTGGACGAAACACGCTTCTTGTATTCCAGTGCTAACCAATATCCATCTTTCATGCAATTGGTTCCCTTTATCCATCTTTCCTTAAAAAGCTTGTGACTTAAGGCTATATCGAGGCAATTCTCATAGGATGCACATATGTCAATAAGTGACTGATGAATTGTAGTCCGAAATAACAATGGGAAGATACAAGTAAAAGAACATCAAGTGAATTCAGTAATTTGTTTTTGAAAAGTTATCCAACACCAATCATACTGATCAATCAAAGTCGATTAAAGACCCACTCATAATCAGAGTCCATAGTAGCTGTTTTATTCAAGTTTATGACTATTCATTAATGCACATTTATAGGCATAACAGAGATTCAACCTAAGACCTTTATGTTTGGAAACAAGAGTATTATTTTGAGATGATTTAGTTGAAATCTAGTACTTTACAAGTAACAGATTCGTCAACTAGTTTTGTTGTTTCAGATTGATCATGGTGTGAGTGAATTTTTACAAACAGCTTGAAAAATCTAATTGAATTTACTTCTTGTTGATTTTGCTGACAATCACGAAGTGCTAATTCATTACATTGTTGTTGTTTAATGCTATCCCCTTTCATTTACATTCTCATCTTAAAGAAGTATCGAATTGACTAAACTGAAGTTTGATCAATCAATACTTTACAACTTATTTATTAAGTTGGCATGTTTTTGCTTAAGAATATAGCGTTATTATGTATGCATTGTTATCACTAAGTATTCATTGCTACTTCAAATTCTTGCGAGAGAATCAGAAACAAAACTTTTGAAGGTATTATTCTACTTTAGTTACCTTTGAAGCATCAATTGAAAAACAGAGTAACTAGTCGCATGTCTAAATATAAGTTACTGAGAGAGATTTTCTTTAAAACAATTGGTTGGTACTCGTGCTACACAGAGTTGACTACTATCTGCAATGACACACTATGATAATTATCAGGAATATATTAGATTTGAAATACGGTAGGATGTGTTGTACCAAGATGAGTCGTTAGTTCGTGAAGTCAATGACTTTGAGACGATGGCAAAGTTTTGTAGCTTAGGTGGATGTTTTTAGTGAAGTTTTGTTCACTGACTTGATCAGGATGTTCATTGTTTGTTCGATAAGCTCACTATACCATTGTAGACTTTGACTGATATTAATTAGTATTTCAGATGGAGTAAATACTTTCATTATTTATCTTCCTTTAAATTTTTAATATACTACTATCCCACACTTTTCATTCCACCATTTAATTGGCTACATTTCGGGTTAAATTTTCTTTAGTAAGCTTTCTAATACAGCTGATTTTATTTCCTCAACGAGACTATAATTTATTGACGAACAAGTCAGGTATAAGATAATAGGTCTGGGGTTTCGGCGCGAAATTCACTCATACATTTGACTAAATAAAGTTTCAGCATTATAGCTGATGTCAACTCCTGATGAAAACCCTAAAGCTAATTCCTAACTTTAACCATCAACTGTAAATTATAATTCTATTTCCTCAAACTGATTTATAACCCTCATTTGGTCCTAGTCATTAGGTGGACACTCTCAAGCTCACTTTAGCGTGACTGAAAGGTCATCCACAAATTATAGTCTCACGATCAAATGAATATCAGTTGAGTGATGTTACGTCAAACAATCAACTTGTAAATTAGTCAGTATAACATTAAGCCGGTTATATATGGAATTACAACAGTCCGAAATACTTCAGTAGGTAGAAACTACATCTTGGCAATTCAAGGTAATATTTAGTTGATCAACTAAAACTATCATGAAGATCAGTCGATTCTCGATATATTGATAGCCTATCAACATATAGAGAATCGATTGATCTAGACTGGCTAGAGATTGCAGGGGATGTTGAGCACGGCGTTCCCACTCATGATCTGGCGCAGATGCATGACCGAGCGCCTTCAGCTAGGTGACTCCATGAAAACTAATGTTGTTAGCATCCAACGTCGAAAACTTACAGAGCTATTTATTTTGGGGATTTATTTACCGCTACAGATCACCCCCCCTAATGGGGTAGTGATGACCCTAAAACGTAGCCAGCCAGAATTTTAAACCCAGCGAGTTTTGTCGTTGGTAAACACTCTTCTGATAGCTTGCTATGTTTAGCAGCGTCTGGTCATCTTTCCTTACTATTAGGGACCATGTTGTATTAATTTATCACTACAAGTTAATTTCAAATGATATACATTTTGTAATATGTTCATGTTTTTAGAACTTTCTAGAATGTAAATCGAATTCTATATCACAAATGAATCAACCTAATTGTGATGAAATTAAAAGCGCCAATCCTTTGAATCAGATTTCATCAAGTGATCAATTTAAAGATATTTTCAGAAAAGAAAAATTGTATAATAATATACAGGCATATTCTATAGAAGAAGATAATAGAGAAAATGATATTCATAATGCATTAGTACATCAAAAGTAGGTTGTATTGCAAAGTTACTTTTTGTTGCTCAGTAATTCTTTTATTGATTTAAAATAAACTCAGTGAATACAGTGATTTTCAGTGCTGTTTCAGGTATGGGAGTAGTTATCGCTTCCTGCTTGCCTACACCTTAAAAGGGATCTTCTAGAGGTTAAGGGTGGTCTTAATGACCTGAGAGCATGACCGCAGTGCCCAAAAGACAACTGCTTGGGGTCGGTCACATACGACCATTTTGTGAGTAATTTTCGTGTTAGCTCCGTACTTGTTGAGACCTTAACGCTGGAGACGGATATCTGTGAGATAAAGTGAAGTGTGCATTTTAGGGTCGACTTTTTCTAACACCACCCTTCCTTTGTGGGAAGGCAGGATTGCTGTTATATTGGTTGTCTGAAAGAGATACTTTACTGCCTCTCGGACCTCAGGTTTGCTACTTTTAGCCTTACCGCTCTTCAGCTGACCTGTTTGGCATGATAGGACGTTGAAGAATGATTGTTCCAGCCAATATAACTCGACTGGTTCATTACGATAGGCAAGCCCGACCACCACATCAAGGTAGCAGCTGGTTAACATTTATGTTTTAACAATTTTTCTGATAAACAGACTCATTTAAACAATGTATGGTATTTTACATAACATCAGAGGGGTGGCTCAGTGGTTGAATAACCAGGATTTATCTACGTGGTCCAACGTTCCAGAACATTACCGTCTACCTAGGTCCTGACAGATTGTTACTATAATAAGCCTCGTGGAAACAGTATGCCTTGATGCTATATACATGAATTGCATTCATTAATTGATCAAAACTTTGTATTTTGTAAAGGACATTTCGATTCTTTAGCTCTGCAATTTATTTTTAATAAACATTAATTGCTTTAAATATGAGTGAAACCTAATCTATTACACTTTGTCACTTCTGTTTTGATCTACTAAATCGCCTGATCCAATCGAACTAGGTATATTAGTTAAACTTATAATTGATTTCTCATACATAACTACAAACCATGATCCAAATGATTCTTATCAAATAAGGAATTATATCTAAAAGTGTTTCATTCCAGGTTAGTTTTATCAATAGTTTGTGAAGAATATTCAATCCGAGAGCCACAGAAGATTAGAAAATGCAAGATAGCCATTTCCTCTAAATATGCGGCTTAGCTATCATAGGTCGAAAAATGAGAAAGCTAGTTGACTATAGATGACCTAACTGATAACTAGAGATTCAAATTTTTAAGTTCATTTAATTCATAGTACTATGCAGTCATAATTCGTTCTCATTGACTTTCTAGTGCTTCCTTATTTTTAAAGATTGTTTAACTAATATTAGTTCATGATGCAGGCGATCAAATTTTCGCTATGGAGACTAAATAGGTTGATGAAGATTCTTAGAGTATTCCCACTGTTAATTTTTTTTACCGATTTCTTAGTTTATCTGATATCATTTCAATTTTATTCCTGTTTTATTTGAGTGATTACGATTTCTGTGATTGACGTCCGAATTTTATTGTCAGTAAGGAGTTGTGAAGTATATTGAATTTCATTGAGATCATGAACTGGTTTAAATTAGAGTTCTGATAAGAAGCCATAACCAGTGAAGCAATTAACCACCTAAGAGAATAGAAGATGGTCACACAATATAGTGGATTGATTGAAGTTAAATATTAACACTTTTGGATGCACACTCAGTGGTCTAGATGTTAGGTGATCGCACGAGACTAAAGGTCTTGGATTCGATTCCTGTATGCAAGGTCGTGGATGAGCACTGTTTAGAAGTCCCTTACTTGAACGAAACGGCTGTCCAGTTTTTTCAGGTTTTCAATGGTAGTTTAAGGTAGATAGCTTCATGATTTGAATGCAAGTCCTAATTTTATTGTGATAAGTGTTCGAGTTAATTTATAGTAACTGTTTTCTAAAATCTGATCAATGAAATTCGATCACTACTAAATACTATCTCAATATGATATCGGTTACTGCTGATTGGTCAATCAATGCAAATATCCCAGTCTTATGAGAGGTCCAATTATTTTATTAGTAACTTCAGATTGTTAATCTGGGGGTCACGGATCCGAACTCCAAATGAAGTATAAACATATGGCATAGTGACGAGTACCAACTAACAATAAAAATTATGCCAGGGAAAGTTTCTCTTTAAATATCTGTTCTCACTACAATCATCTAATCATAACTTTATTAAACACTTTAAAAATATCTATACGATCTCACCTGATTTCATTGAGAATGTTCAATTGTAATGAAAGAAGAAGGAAATTATCGCTTAGATCCTAAAAAAGTTTATTATCTACTGGATTCCATGAAATCATAATTATATTAGTTCATTCATCTCCAAATCTTTCTTACATTTTAGTGATGATAAAGAAATTCAAGCTGTTGTAAATTGTTTAGCGGATACTTTAAAAGATGGTTGTCATCCTGGTGCACCTGAAATAATTCCACGTTGTAAAAATGATAACAAAATACCAACTGTATTTGTTAATTCAAATAATTGTGTAAGTAAAAATCAAAAGTTGTTATTCAAGCCTAATTTAGAGGATAATGGACCAATTGAACCAAGTACGTTGTAAATATTTTGGTGGAGTTTTGTTCTCTGAGCTGGATGGTTTGGTCGTGGAGCTTTCATCGTTGTAAATATATTTTTTTATTTCGTTGAATAGTTTTGTAGGGATTACTCCACTTTGAAAACTAGTTTTTATCACGGACTGACATTAACTGATAATCAATTAACAACTACATAGCACCTAGATCACTGCTTTATTCTAATATGTGACTCTTCAGAAGTAATCTAATTGTCTTCGGAAGACTTCTACTTACCTTGTAGATGACTTTGAACGCAAAGTCTGTCTTGATTGAATGACCTGTGTTCACAAGGTGTTCGATTATAGAACTTCTTATTGAGCCGTTGCCTCCTCTTTTTAGCCACACCGGACAATGTTCTTGAATTCTTTTGGATAAAGTACTCATCGAACAATTTATATACCTAGCTCCACAAGAGCAGGCAAATTGGTAAATGCACATTGAGTTGGTCGGATGCGATAACTTATCTTTCAGATTATTGGTGAACAATAATCGGCTGGAGAATAATCTTCTCAATCAATGCGAAGAATGTTATTTTTAAGGAATCAGAAATTCTCCTCTTTAAGATATATGTGGCTTTATCGCCTTTGAAGTCGATGTTCATGTATAAAGTTTTCTTTTCTACTGTCATTATTCGTGCTTTTGGCGTTTTTGTCTTCATATTCTTATCAATGAATATTGAAAGACCACAGGTCATTCAGTCAGAACAGACTCTGCGTTCAAAGTCATCTACAAGGTAAGTAGAAGTCTTCAGAAGTACTCACCCAAAACCCTGTTGGGAATGGAACTCAGTACTTTGCCTGTCAAGAATTCGTTCAAAAATAGTTTTACTAGTTTAAATGTATATAAATAAACCTGTGCATAAGTAAGGGCACAATATATTGCAGTGGAAGTAAATGTTATAATACCTTTGTATTACTAAAATCGATCTTGAACGATATCTTCCGATACATACAAACTTAGATTACTATTATCTTTTAGATTCAATAAAGAAATCTATTTTGTATTGTTCGTTTAAATCTTCCCATTGATGTTTAGAACTGCAATAAGAAGATTCAAACAAACAAAACAGAATAAGTTTACACTTCACCCCATTACACAAGCTAATGGCTATCAGGACTCAGTAGCTGACGATACTACTGGGTTCGACCATCAGAATGGACATCAACAAAGAGATGTAGGTACATCCAGTTGGCTAAGCTACCTACAACATTTCATTCACCTACTTCAAACTGAACTATTCATAAACCTTTTTAAGTGTTTTATCGAATCACATAAAAAACCTTTATGTTCACTAGGGAAGCCTACTGTAGCTATGTTTCATCAGTGCCACTGAATGATCATCACATTATTTCGGGAATCAACAGAACTTGGAAATATGTAACATTGAATTCCTGTTCTCTAACCGAAAATGTTGATGAATTCGGAGTGAAATCTAAGTTTCCTAAACTCTATTTTATGTAGGTTCATGAGGAGTCCCAAACAGAGAGTAGAAAGTAATGAAATCCCTGTCTAGTTTTCATTGTTTTTTGGGATAATGTCAGTTCACGACACCAGATAACTTCAAATATTAGAACGAACGGTGTTATTTTTCACTGTAAATTACCTTTCTTATTATAATACTTTTAAAAAGCATGAAACTCCGACATCAAAATGTTATTCTTTTGCTAAACCACAGATTTTCTAAATATTATTTTATAGTGAGTTAGTAGTAATTGTATAGGAAGGACGGAGGAAAGGATTTTAACTAGGCTTTTCTGTACTTTACCCCGTAGAATTCTGTAAAGTTTTTATAAGCGCAATCATTAGGCCACTTGATAGATAGTAGACACAGTGTAGACATCGATAAAGTAATCAAAATCATTTGTTTTACTCATACGATTATAAACTTTTCTATTATGGATACGAATAATTATTATCTCTCTTTGTCTATTCTAAGTTACTGTTTTTCTAACACATGAGTATGTTGTAGTAATTTAATAGTTGAATTCATAAGTCGATTAAAGCTAGACCACCATGGAAATTCTGGAGGCACCGGACGGCCATTCCGTTCTATTATGGGACTCCTTAATACCATTGGAATCGGGCTCGGTGGTCTAGAGGTTAGGCGATCGCACACGAGATCGAAGGTCCTGGGTTTGAATCCCACAAGCAAAATCGTGGTTGCGCACTGCAGAGGAGTATCATACTAGGAAGAGACTGTTGACCAGTGCTTCGAGATTTTCATTAGTGGTCTAGCTGTGATCGAATCATCAACTCAATTATTAATTTACTACAATCTTCACCGAAATCCCAGTCTGATGATAATCATCATTTCCTCACAAATTACTGGCTTCAAGTGGTATTTCCTGGAGTTCTAGTGAGAAGCAGTGACCAATGGGGTTCAACCGTGTATATTGTGAGGCAGTAACTCACTGAAGACAATGATGGACGGTGGCGTGGATTCGTGGATTGGTTGAATTTAGACATTAATACCGTTGGATGTTGGCCCAGTTGTCTAGAGGATAGGTGTTCGCGCGCGACACCGAAGGTCCTGGGTTCGGATCCCGCAAGCGGAATTGTGAATACACATTGCTCAGTAGTTTCATATCAGGGTGGAACGGCCATCCAGTGCTTCCAGGTTTTCCACGGTGGTCTAGCTTTAATCAACTCATGAATTAAACTATTCAATGACATAAATATTTGTCAGTCATAATTATGTTAAATTACATGTTCTGAGTCATACCACTTCTCAGTTCATTTTAAAACATTTATCTCAATTTCACTAGCTAAAGTATGCCAAATCTATGTTTGAGTTGTTTTCAGTTGACTTATTTATTTATTTATTTAAACACGTAAACATTGGTACAAGGAGCCACCAAATAAATATGCGCCACATTTATCATTCGATTTGTGTGAGGGCTGAGATACTGTTCGGGTGAACAAACCGAAGCAGCTAGTTTACTTACGGGGACACAGCTGGATCCTTCGACCTAAGAGTCTAATCCACAAGGCAATGGAGCAACTTAAGGAGATTCAATCCAATGGTTGCCGGTGATCACCGATTGATTTATATGTCGTTTGTTCCTTCAGGATACCGGAGCCCATGTACACCCTTGGTTTGGAATCAAAGTTTTCTAACTCCCCTAGGTGGATCCTCCATATCCACCAACTCGGCTAAAGCACCGGAAATTTGCTTTTCATCCTCTCAATTTTGTAAACAACACTACCGCCACGAGAAGACAGTGAGTAGGACTTGTATGCACGTGGCCATGTGAGACCATTTTGAGGAGGGAGTTGACTCTCCTCATTCTCGGACGTACAAAGGTGTTTGGGGGCTTGAAATAAAATTCATTCACTTTATCTAGAAGATTTTGTTGTTCATACTATTTTGAATTACAATAAGAAAATAGTTTACTGTTCAATCGTTCATTGTTCGGTTTTCTTTGTTTTTCAGAAGAAGAAACGATCAATCGATCTGTACATTTAAAACAACATTTTATAGAATTACAAAGGTATGATATTTCATGCTTACTTCTTTGACAATGTAAATCATAAACAAAATGATGATAACACTTTATAAAAAGTCATATAAACAATGAGACTGATCATTTATGCGTAGCATTGAAATGTAGGATGTTTGTTTCGTTTAATTTGAACCTTTTTTTCATTTCGATGTATCTGGATCAAGAATAGGACAAAGTGTCATGTCCTGGATTCTAATGCTATCTGAATTCCATCCATTCTAATTGTAACTTATGATAAAATGAGTATGTATAGACAATCTGTACAAGATAAGCATATGTCAACAAAGACTGATCAATGTTCAGTTAAAGATGTCAACAATAGGGTAATTCAAATTCTTTCTAATGATAATAATATAAATATGAATGATCCTTTTTAATACCATCTTTTAACTTGAGTGGAGTTATGTTCTCTGAGCTGAATGGTTTGGTCGTGGAGCTTTCATCGTTCTTCTGAACGACATTATCAGCACAAACTTCAGATAAACTTCATTTCACCATCTTTTAACGAAGGATTTATAAAATTGTCTTATATAATTGATCATACAAACTATATAAATTATTATTATTATTATTATTATTATTATTATTATTATTATTTGGTACAATATAGAATTCTTAGCACAAATTATTTCAACAAGTTTAATTGCTTTATTTCTTGATCGATTCTGACAATAAACATTGATTGATCGCCAATTAGATGTTAGCAGTTCAGGAATTGACATCTGAATAGTGTACATTCTTTTCACCATTATATATTGTCAGTCACCACGAGGTCTCTGATTATATGTTTTTGTACGCTGCACAATGAAAGGTCGTAAGTTATTCATAAACGTAATAGGCATAATGTATTAAAACGAGGAAAAACAACAGATAACCTCTTGACATATCTAAATGGTAGGAACAGGTGATCATCGTCGAACAATCAGTTGAGTGAAACTCGTCACTATACATCAACTTCATTGATTATGAAAAGGCATTTGACAGTGTAGACATGAGGACGTTATGGAAACTTTTTCGACACTATGGAGTTCCTGAGAAGATTGTCAATATTATCCGGAACACATACGACAGACTACAGTGAGAGGTTGTACATGGAGGACAGCTGATAGATGCATTCCAAGTAAGGACCGGAGTCAGACAAGGCTGTCTACTCTCTCCCTTCCTCTTTCTTCTGGTGGTCGACTGGATTATGAAAACCTTCAGATCTGAGAGAAAACACGGCATACAATGGACAGCTCAGAACCAATTAGACGATTTGGACTTCGCAGATGACCTGGCCCTCCTATCGCATACACACGAACAAATGCAGATAAAGACAGCCAGTGTAGCAGCAGTCTCTGCATCAGTAGGCCTTAACATACACAAGGGGAAAACCAAGGTCCTCAAATTCAAAGCGGAGAACAGCAATCCAATCACACTTGATGGCGAAACTCTGGAAGATGTAGAACCCTTCACATATCTGGGAAGCATCATCGATGAACAAGGAGGATCCGATGCAGACGTAAAGGCGAGGATTGGCAAAGCAAGGGCCGCATTCCTTCAGTCGAAGAACATATGGAACTCGAAACAACTGTCTGTCAACCAATATCAAAGTCACAAACTTCAATACGAGTGTCAAGACAGTCCTACTGTATGGAGCTGAAATTTGGAGAACTACTACAACCATCATCGAGAAGGTAAAAGTATTTATAAATTGTTGTCTACACAACATACTCAACATCCACTGGCCGGATACCATCAGTAACAGCCTACTGTGGGAGAGAACAAACCAGCTTCCAGCTGAATAGGAAATTAAGAAAAGATGATCTACATGAATAGGACATACATTACGGAAATCATCAAACTGCATCACGAGACAAGCCCTAACTTGGAATACTGAAGGGAAGCAGAAAAGAGGAAGGTCAAAGAACACATTACATCGGAAAATGGAAGCAGAAATTTTAAAAAATGCATAACAACTGGAAGGAGCTGGAAAGGATTGCAAAGGACAGAGTTGGTTGGAGAATGCTGGTGAGCGGCCTATGCTCCTTCACGAAGAGTAACAGACGTATGTATTTAGGGAACAGGTGACCCCTTTATATTCAAACAGGTCGAAGCGGTAGGCGTTTATACCGATTAAACTTTAATGTATCTATAAAAGAATGATTACCTATTTATTCAAATCAATCAGGAAATAGAATCGTTGAAAACAAACATATTTTCTTATACAGAAAACTTCAAGATTTATACTTCAGTTTGAGTAAGGTTGTTTTGTTCATTGTCAGTTCATAACTTTAAATCGAATAATAGTTTTATTTTCTTTAGATCCATTCATTAAATTACTAATACTGAAGTTATGTAATATTCAATTTCTTAGAATTCTTCGAATTAAATTCATAATCTATGGTTAAATATTCATTTCATATTGTATACATGATCTCTGAATTGTTTTTTTAAATGTTTACGATACTGTATTTTGAATAGTACTATGTAGTAGTAGTAGTAGTAGTAGTAGTAGTAGTAGTAGTAGTAGCATTTAAGATTTTCTTTTTGTTATAACTTGTGGCCTGTGTGCCTTGTTAATCTATAACGTAATAATACCGTCAATTAGAGAGCAGTGAATTATCGATCGGACCAATGACGCATAAAACCCATGTGAGAAGTCTAGAGTCCTTATTGGTCCTGCTTACCGCCTAGCCCAACCAGTTAAGTCCAGAACACCTCTGTGATATGAATCATGCATTCCAAACATACTGGGTTTATATATCAACCAGACAGATCACATCGTACCAATACAATAGGAAACAACATTTGTACAATATTTAGCCAAAAGTGGCTGTCAATGTAGGAGGTAGTAAATGATAGTCAGGGCATGATTCAAGAATGATAAATCGTATAATACTAGTTCATAGGTCAAAATAAAACTCATAATAAGTTTAGTTATTTAACAATTATACAATAAAAACATACGCATAGTATTTGTCCATACATTGATCCTAAAAGTTACCATTCATTATTCTCATCAGGATATAACAATAAGTTTATTATACTTTTGATAGTGAATACAGTAAAGGAGATTAGTAAATTCAGTAAGGAATATTAATAAAGTGCAACTGTGGATTTATTCATTATGACATTCAATGAAGTTATGAGAATTTGAATTTAATCAGTCTGTTAGCGGGCTATAGATTGGATTAAAGCATGATCCGTGTAGGATTGTGTTGAGGCACACTGACTGGCTATTTACTAACCAATCAACGCTAGCGGATACTTGAAGAAGACTGTAGAATCTTCTGATGTAAAAATGATAAATATGCTAACGTTTTTTGAAATCGTGATTCTTACTTCCATCCACCCTTCTTATTTGGAATATAAGTATGTTCCTGTTCAACCGTATTTTGATTCGGGGACATGCTTAGTGAAATAGTGTCCAAGAATACGAAGCAATAAAAGTAGCTGGATAGTAATAGGAGAAATCATAACACAGCATAAAGTAAATCTGTAAATACATGAATTCATTGTTAAATTATTCAAAAATTGTTACATGGATGTTGTAGTAAATGTCCATGTGGCATTAGTGTCTATACTCTTCATTTGTATTTCGGACCATGTCAGTTCCATTCCAGTTATAACAATACCGGACAAACATTTCAGTAATAACCATGTCTCAACAGCTCATCGAATAAGACTTTGATATCCATGGTGATATATTCTGAATCCGAGTCTTTAGGGAGAACATAGGCACTAGGAAACAAATATAAACACAGCTGATTAGTTCCAAATAGGACGTTGTATGTGTCTTGGATCATAATGTAGCCCAAATATTGATTTGTAAATGTCGACAATATCGTAATAACTGTTGAAAACGTCTACACACTGAAGTCGGTCAGTTAAATTCATTTTATTATATCAACAATCAAGTCTTGATATCTTAACAAGTAAATAATCCATCTTTAGTCAGAATTCTAAATATAACTCTGTATAATTGTTGTTTTCATTTTACCGATCAATAGAGAGTGTATAAAGAATGTGGGCTTGAAGAGGCTACATGAAGCTTACGAAGTTCTTGATCAAGATTTATCCTCAGAATCTCAAGAGGTAAACTGCTTACGATTCATCATCTTGACGCTATACATATTTCAATTATTTCAGAGAAAATGCATATAAAGTCATTTGTTATTGATACTTAGCCACTCCCCACACCAGTAGGAAATGCTTGACAAAGTAATATTAATTTTAAAGAGAACTATTGACCGAAACAATATATGGTGTCGGTTGAGGAAGATGTTGACCATTGATCAAAGCCATATTGATACATGCAAACATGTAGGCTGAAGAGTGGACAATGATTATAACTTTTGGTTAAAGGCCCAAGGTGACGGTGCACAAACTGGTCTAAGTTTTAACATTGTTTCACGTTTTTTATTTCCGTATTTCATTTCTTCGTTTTAGAATAGTAAACTTACTACCATTGATACCGTTACTGTACTGTACCAACGTTCGACTGCTCACACAGAATCCTCACCCCTTTCCCTAAAAACTATTCGGAACTGGAGGAAAATCGACCGACTACCCCCGTACTATTTTGTATTATTTAGACTTTCAAACTCATGTAATTATGCGTAGGAAAAATGAGTTCAAAATACTTTGTAGATAATTAACCTCAATGAGTACATAAATAGGACATTTGTGATGAGCATTTGAATTATAGATTGGATCGGTTGAAGCTAAGTAGTAACACCGTTGGATGCTAGCTCAGCAGTCTAGAGGTTAAGTGTTCGAGACCGAAATTCATGAGCTCGAATACTGCGCGCGGGATCGTGGATGGCTACTACTAGGGGGGTTTCATCCAGTGCTTCTTAGTTCGTAACAGTGGTCTAACATCGGTCGATTCATAGTTATAATTAAAACTCAACAATCACCACAACTCCATACTCATAATAGATTGACTAAGGGTTTATTACATTAAAGAAATGGTAAAAGATACAGTAATGATTATCAAGTCAAATAAAGGTTTTTGATAAGAACAATGTAAAAATACCATAAATCAATCATTTAGTTCGTGCATATTAATATTACATTATATTTTACCAGAGAGTAACTGTTGACATTTTTCTATTTTCACATCTACACCTTGATCCTAAAAGAAACTATGATGATTTTGAGTCCTTTGACAATTATCCTGGCATATTCAACTCTTTACCTTGATGTGTTATGATAACTTGAATTGGATCAAATTTGCAACAGATTGTAATTTGATTTTGATGGGCTGACTGCCAGCTGTCTAAAGTTTATGAAACAGTAAATTAATAGATGAAAATGGATATTACTATGACAGATTATTAGATGTCTTTGAAGGTCAGTTAGATAATATTTCAGTTTTCAATGGTGGTCGAGCTTCAACTGACTCATGATTTCAATCTGTGAAATTTCTAAAATCTCCACAAAACCCATTCTGATAATAATCAACTGCTCACTAGTGACTGATTTTAGGAAAAACTCCTGGAGTTCTAGTGAGAAGCCGTTACCAGTGGAGTTCAACCACGTCTGTTGTGAGATAGGAACTCAGTGAAGACAATGGTGTACAGTGGCGCAACTTCATGGATTGGTTGAAGTTAGACATTAACACCGTTGGATCGCGGCTCAGTGGTCTAGTGGTTAAGTGCTGGCGCGCGAAGCCAGTAGGTCCTGGGTTCGAGCCCCGCATGGTGCGGGATCGTGGATGCGCACTGCTGAGGAGTCCCATACTAGGACGAAACGGCCGTCCAGTGCTTTCAGGTTTCCAATGGTGGTCGAGCTTCAACTGACTCATGATTTCAACCTGTGAAATCGTATATACAACCTTAAAATCAAACTGTGGATCCGTAAAATGATTATAGTTGATAAGGTGTTCAAGTATAGAATTCCTAACTGCCTTCTTATCGCCCTTGTAGAACTAAACTGGAACGTGTTCCCGTATCCGAGTTGAAATCGTTCACTGGCTACGACCAATGTACCTTGCTCCAGAAGAGCAAGTGAACTCGTTGATGAACATGGAGGCGGCCAGACGGGGAAGCTTTTCTTTGATGGATATAGAAAATAAGTTACTGCTACTAAATGTTATTCGTAGTAATACGGCGTTGAATATTCTTTTAATCGCTGCCGTTAAACGATTTTTGATTACACTGATTGAAATCATGAGTCAATCGAAGCTAGACCACCATGGAAAACCTGGAAGCACTGGATGACCGTTACGTCTTAGTATGGGACTCCTCAGCAATGCGCATCCACGATCCCACACCCCGCGAGATTCGAACCCAGGACCTATCAGTCTCGCTCCAGGAGCTTAAACATGATGGTCTAGCTTCAATTGACTCATGATTGTACAGCTTGATCATAAATTCGTTGAAAAGAGATCCTTTCACTGAACTTCGTGTTTTTAATGTTTCAATGGAAATTATCTTGTCAATATTCTTTTCTGTTTTATTTTATTGTTACTTTTTGTTTGCTTTTAGATATTATTAAAGAAAATACTTGGCATAGATATTTATTCACAATATATGAGTAAAATTTGGCAACTTAAACTTCTTGAACAAAATACTTTTGAAAAAGAAACATCCAGTTAACAACAAATGACCAGTCGTATAGTTATAATTCTCTTTTTTTAACGATATACATGTATATTATGTGAACCCTGTGTTTATTTTCGACAGTCTTTTTATATATACTTTTATTGTTACTTTGATACCATAACTTCGGTTTGGACACCCATGGCCAGTATCCCAGCCCTGTTACGAAATGAATGATTTATGTGGCGTATATCTATTTGGTACCTCCTTGTACCAATGTTTATATGTTTAAATAATAATAATAATATCATCGGTCCAAGTTGCCATACCTCACTGAACCGATGCATATGTGTGCCTGATCCTACGTTGTAACTGACTGACTGACTGAATACCATAACTTGAACACATTATGAGCATATGAGTAATTTTCCTTTACATTAGGTACTGATTGAACTGCAAATCTTATGAAACATTCATTATATTATGTCATCAGTTGAAAAAAAATGGAATGTATAAGACAAAATTGTTAAATTTATTTATGGACTATTGGGATGATTTTATACACAAACATCATTTTATAGTCAATTTATGTAACATTTCTTTACTATTATTATTCATACTACTTACAAATGTAAATGAGTAGAATATAATATAAGTGATATAAATGATTTTTGTTTTGAAAAAATAATCATGAACTGGTTCATAATTTCAAGTATTGTGATTTGGTGAACTTTATTTGTATAAAAAGGATATTTTTCACTAAGAAAATGACTGAATATTCATTTAGCAGGTTTCATATCTGACCACACAAGCAGAGGGAATGTTACAATCTCGTCTCCACAAATCCTTCTTCATATTAGCCCAATGAAAATAAATTAATAGGATTAAGGGTAATAGATTTGTAGCAATATCATGTGTAGAGTTAAAATAAACATCAGAAAAAGAGAATGAGAAGAACAGATGAAATATGCAAGATACTAATAATACTCACTACATAAGGAATATAAAGGGAATATACACAATTGCTGAACTGAGTATTTTAGATCATCATCCCAACCAGAGGATTCTAATTACAAAATAAAGGTATTGTACCGACTTTAACTAGACTTTTCGTAACGCTCAATATGCTTTAATCTGAAAGTCAAAGAATTAATGGGTTAATGTGATACAGAGCCCATGTCAAGACAAGCACCCTAAATCCCACCCTGTCGTAGACAGATGTTTCCAGTTACTATTCATCCTTATCATATCTGATTACAATTCACAACGCACTTTGTTTCCCTCCACTTACTTCTTTTACTTTTCTCCTCTGAATTCAATGTTACCGCTTGCCTCGTGATCCAGTTTAGTGATTTCCGTAATGTATATCCTATCCAATTACAACGTGTTTTCCTAATTTTCTCTTCAATTGAAATCTGGTTCATTTTATCCTACAGTGCGCTGTTACTGACGGTGTCCGGTCAACGGACATTCAGTATATTGTGTAGACAATTGTCTATAAATACTTTTACATTGTTGATGATTGTTGTAGTAGTTCTCTGATTTCTGGGTTCGTACAGTAGAACTGTCTTGATGTGATTTTGATATTGGTTGAGAGACAATTGTTTTGAGTTCTATGTAATCTTAAATTGAAGGAATGCGACCCTTGATTTTCTAATGCTTGCCAGCATGTCTACATCAGATCCTGATTATTGATGGACGATGTTATCCAGACATGTGAATGATTCTATCACTTCTAGAGTTTCTCCATCAAGTTTGATTGGGTTGGTGTTCTCCGTGTTGTATTTGAGGGTCTTGCTTTTCCTTTGTGCATTTCGGGGCATACTGATGCAGAGGCTGCTACTACACTGATTGTCTTGACCTAAATTTGTTGGTGTGTATGGGATAGAAGGAATAGGTGATCTGCGAAGTCCAAATCTTCTAACTGATTCCTGTCAGATGCGGAGGTTTTCATAATCCAGTCAGCCACCAAAAGAAAGAGGAAGGAAGAGAGTAGGAAAACTTGTCGGACTCCGGTCCTTATTTGGAATGTGTCTGTCAGTTGTCCTGCATTAACTACTTTGCACTGCAGTTCATCGTATAAGTTCCGTATAATGTTGACGATCTATTAAGTCGCACCATAATGTTAAACAAGGTCCGGACATTCCATGTGCGTGTAATAATTGTTGTTCTGGTTGTTAGGATGTGGATAGACTTCGTAACGTCTGAAGAAAATCGGCTTTGGGCAGAGTTTAAGTGGTTAAAACGTTTTTCTGGTTATCGTTTTTAACAAAGTCGTTTTTTCTGGTATGACGTTGCTGACTCTATGCCCAAACCTCCTCCTCTATTTCAGCTTGTGACAAGCCCTAGAAAGTCTACAGACGGAGTGAATATAGTATGACCATGGATTAATAGCTCATCCATGTGTGGTATCAAATATCCGTAAGAAGTCGCCAAAACAATCACTGAATATAAAATTCCACGAGCATAACATACCCCCATGTAAATAATCTACCAATTATAAATTAATCGATTTACATAACTTTAAGCCTCACTATTTATATGAAAGCTTATTAAACAAAATCTTGACTACCAATAACTGAATGAACCAGATCAGATAGTTTCTTATTCGTTTAAATCAGAATGATTTTTTAACTTCATTAACCTGCTGGTTAATGATTGCTTAATTATATTACTAATCTTAATACTTAAGAGAAGTTCACCATAATTTTCATTAACATTCTTCTTGTGGGGACGACCCATCGGTGAACTCAAGAAAGTTCTAAGAAGCTCAGAAAGAGCCGAATATATTTCATCCAATCATCTTTTGGAAGAGTATTCTAGAATCCATACATGTAGCTTCTCTATTGGACAAATGCTAATAACCCCCTGTATGCGAATCAGAGAACCATAATAATGATTTCGTTTTTACTAAAAAGTATAAATACTTGACAGTTTTGTACCATAATTGACACTGTTTGGCATAAAGTTTCTTCCACTTATCTTCTGTCTTCTCATTCGTCACTTGGAGGGTTCTAGCGTTCAAGTGCTCTAGTTGCACATGGTATAATAAGAAACTAATCTCTAGATATAACATTACTCCATTATCCATTCATTCATCATATCAGTAGAGATTAGATTAGTGACATGAATAAACAAATTTTTTTCTAATATATTTTAATGAATTTTAATTGTACTTTGATCTCGTCGACACATTATTCTCCTATTACCTATGGTTCTCTGATAGTAAATGTGCTAATGAACGTTTTATATACGTTGACGATTAATTTCTCAAGTAAAATAAATCGGTTCTTAAAACAACCATCAGAAATTCAAAAACAGTAACTAGCAAGTTACAGTGTGTTAAACAAAAATGGGTAGTGACTAGCAGTGGAATCCAGTTTGACGCGCGTTTTGTCCTGTTTGGGACTCGACAGATGGATGTACCTGCATCTCAGAGTTGATGTTTACTCTGGGACTCGAACCGATCATCGTCCACTTCAAACACCAACATGTTACTCACTTGGCTACTGAGTCCTGATAAGTACCTGCTTGTGCAATGAGGGGTGAAGTTTTAAATTCACTTGGTGTTGTTTACTTGTATCTTCCCATTGTTATTTAGGACTAGTGCATTCAACTAGCGAGTCCCAAATAGTATGAAACGCGCATCCTGTATTCCACTGATAGCCATTATCCATCTTTGCTTATAAAGCTTGTGACTTAAGGCAATACTGAGGCAGTTTGCACAGTATGTAAATATGCCAACAAGAGACTGATCACTTACACTTTTAAACATCAATGGGAAGATATAAGCAAAACAACACCAAGTGAATTTACATTGTGTTTATTTTAATTTTAGGTCTTAATACTCATATGATCATATCAACAAAGTGCATGACTGCAATCTACAATAAATAATAAATCATTATTAGTGTGGAACAAGAACAGTTGTGATATAAAGATAATTTTCAGTGGCCCGTGATCTGACTCCAGTTATAGTATATGAATGATTGATATTGAGATACACATATCGCCAATGCTAGAATATTTTCTTAGACTTAAATCGTGTTAGTAAATAAAGGAATTAAAATGCCGGCTCAGTGGTCTAATCGTCAAGTGCTCGCGTGCGAAACCAGTAGGTTCTAAGTTTGAATCTCGCGGGGTGCAGGATCATGAATGCCCACTGCTGAGGAGCCCCATACTAGGACGAAACGGCCGTCCAGTGCTTCCAGGTTTTCTGTGGTGGTGGTCTAGCTTAAATTGACTCATGATTTCAACTAGTGAAATTTCTAAACATCTCCACAAAACCCATTCTGATAATTAAAATAAGTGAAATACATGAATGGATGTTTGAACACGTATATTTTATGCATTGATTGATCGGAACAGATAGAGAATCACAGTAAATGAACCAAAGAAGACAGAGAGCGAAGCGAAATAAAAGGATGAGAAGTAGAGATGATGTATGAACCAACTCCCTTTAATTAATCGTTAATCAATATTAATAGCCAAATAAAAATACGTTACATACATGCGATGAATAGGATAAGAAGTTGTGGTGTTTGAATGAACTAATGATTCCTTTGTACTTGCTTGATTTCAAATTCCAAATACAGTAGATTCGTTTGTGTTTATATAGTATTTCTTGGTTCATTTGCGTTATTTCTTAGATTCCTTGTTTGTACTTGTTATATCCCGATAAGAATAATGAATGGTAATTCTTGGGATCCTTTAATGGACCAATACTATGCGTATATTTCTATTGTATAATTGTTAAACAACTAAACTATTCATATTCATGTCCCTCTGATTATGAGTTTTATTTTGACCTATGAACTATTATTATACGTTTTACCATTCTTGAGTTATGCCTAGTCTATTAATTGTAGTCTCCAACATTCACAACCACATTTGGCCGAATGTTGTACAAATGTTGTTTCCCACTTTATGGTACAATGTGGTCTGTTTGATTGGTATATAAACACCGTATGTTTGAAATATAAGGATTCATATTGCAGAGGTTGAGATTGGTGTTCTGGACTTAACTCGCTGGGTTAGACAGGAAGCGAGACCAATCAGGACTGTAGGCTGCTCGCACGTGTTTTATGCGTCACTGGTTCGATCGATAAGTTCGCTGCTCTCTGATTGGCGGTATTGTTGCGTTATCCAATAACAGGGCATACAGGTTCATAAGTTATAACAGTACTATAATTGAAATACTACTATTTATCATAGAAGAGTACTTACATACGCTCAGTCAGGATTAATAAATGAATAATTGACAAGATCAAAACATGATTCAAGAAGAATGGATAAATTGGTGTATCCAGAAGTTAGAATAAGTTATATGGGTTTAACATAGTAACCAACACAACAAATTCATGAATATTAACCCAAATTTCAATAGTTAATCGATTAAATGACACTATACAATTAGAATCATTCAACAATAAAAAAGTAGTATAATTGCTGGAGTGATCCAGAAAATTCCTTGCAAGAGACAATTAAGGATCAGGAAGCACTAAGAAGCGTTTCATCCAATCAACGTTCATTTGAAGTTTTAGCCAGAAATATCAAGGAAATGAAACGTTACATGCAGAGGTTCTGATTGGCTGATTGCTATACTGCTACCGTAGTGAACAAGAACACGGGTGGGGACAATCGATTGTGTTTAGCACAAAG